ATTCTAAAATGGGCAGTAACTTGTATATCGAGAAGTTACACAATGCTGAGCTTGTGTAAGAACCCTGATTTGAAATAACCGAAGTCACGAAACGTAATATGAGGCCTAAGTTTGATATAACATGATACTATATGAACTTGTGGTATGATCAGTTCTTGATAAAGCTGAAAAAACTTTTGACAACTATAGCAGTCGGTGTGACAGTCATCTCTGGGCAGTGTTAGGCAAGCTGAAGAGAGTTAGGTTCTACATTAGTGTGATATACTAAGAGACAATTGTCTAATAAAAGTTGTATGCACTCAAGAAAACTGGCAAGATGTCAAAGGTTAAAAAATATATATATATATATATATAATATATATATATATGTTTTAATATATGTGGTTTCTTCTATAAAGAGTATAAGGTATAGAGAGTTTATAGGCCAGTAATTTGATACAAATGTTTTTAGTATAGAGAACTAGAAGCTATATGTGAAAGTTAAATACTTTTTGGTTGTTATTAATATAAAGCTAGATTGCATTCCAGTTAATATGTTAAGAAGTAGAAATCTATATTTGGAATTGGTTTTAAAATAACCGAAGAGCAAGAATATTAGTGTGGCAAATAGTTCTGATGCTGCAGCAAAAATTAAGTTCTAGAGAATAGTTATTAGTAATTATGATGTAGAAAAGGTTGTAACTTCAGAACTAGTTAAATAGCAAAGGTTTTGATTACATCTAGTAAGTTAGCTCTCACTTAATAGTAATTTAACTACCATTAGATGCGTCTCAACAAGCTCTACAAAAATCTTTTAAGTTCTGTATTAATAATTATCACGTGGTTACCGTACAAGCGCGAAATAACGCACAGGGGCGTTATTTCTGGTTCAAACATGACATTCATGTCACTGGCGCAGTAATCTAGCGCAGTAGTGAATCAAATTTTAAGGTTTCAAATAAAAAGTCGACTCTCAATTTGTGGTTCAGGGAAACGGGGAAAATGCGATTTTATTTATAGGATTTTGAAAATCCTATAAATAAAATCGCATTTTTCCCGTGTCCCTGTTATGGTTACGTATTTAATACGTTGCCTATCGCTATAAACTTTTATTACTGTAAAGATTATATTAATTATATGCTACAAATTTTAACAAAAATTAATTATAATTATAAAAAATTTTATTTGATTTTTTATATAAAATCACTGTACTGCTAAAATCATATAATAAATGAAAAAAATAATCTACATATCCTCTTCATCGACATAGTTTGCCATAGGATCTTCGTAGCTATATAATATTAGCAAGCAAAAGTTAAAGACGACCGTAATAAAACTTTTAAAAAGTGTATCAAACTAATTATACTTACGATTGTTTTTTCAATCGATATGCTTCTAATTCCTCTTCGGTAACTTCAGAATCAAGTTTATCGTTATTACCCATATAAGCACTATTGTAAGGCCGTTTTCTATCGTCCATGTTAATATCGTTTTTCATTTGTTTAATTTGTTTAATTCGTCTATCTTCTTCTTCCAATGCCTTTTTAAGTTTTTTAGTGTCCAGTTGAATATCACCTTCTCCCAGATTCTTACGTTTTATGTGCTTATTCGAGTCGTCAACGTTTTTAGATTTTGATTTTTTCATATTTTCAATATGAATTTCAACAAGAGATTTTTTATTTGAAAATTCTTCGTCATTTTTAAGCTCAGAAACGGTCAAGAGATTAGAAGAATTTGCAGCCTCGATACCAGCCAGACCAGTACAATATGAATTTTTAATAAAAGAACGGCAGCATTTATATCCCCAATTACCATCAGCCCAATATGATCCCCATACAGAAGTATGATTATTATTAAAGACTAACAAATTATTTTAAATTATGTGAGATAATGCTAGAGTTATATTATGAATATACATATATAATAAGTATATCTGAAAAATATTAAAAGACATACCATCCTCTTCATATTTTGATTTAGGTATGGCTCGTTCTGGGCCTTTTATTATTCTACCTGTTCTTGAAAATTCAACATATTGTTCAGTTTGAGCTAATAACAATTCTTTTGGTGGAGCATTTAAATGTTCTTCACCACCATATTTTGCTAAAATAGAATCTTTGCTAGTATCTTTAAGTTTTTCTTTTTTTTGAAGATATTCACGATGTAATAGTTCTCCTTGAGTAGGATTTGCTTGTAAATGAACGTCTGTACCCTTTTCATAAGCTTGCCATGCGAAAAGTTGAAGATTTGCCATATTTGGAGCATCTCCCGTGTATCGTACAAAATTATCACCAGCGTAAAAACTATCTTCAGCACCTTTCTCTTTATTTGGATTATCACGCATAGATCGAGTTTTAGGATCATAATATGCAGAATTTATATCCAAATTTCTTAAATATTTAGCAGTATCTTCACGAATTCTCAAATTTCTAATAGTAGTTCTCGTTTTTGTATTAACTTTTTGCCCTGGCATATCAGATTTTTCAGCGTACTTGTCTTCATCATCTTCCTCTTCATCACTTGAAAATTCAGTAGCAATACGATCACCAGTCTTTTTAACAAGTTCAGTTGTACTTTGTTTATCAAGTTCATTAGCCTTTATTTTACGTCGGGCTTCTTCAATTTTTTCATATTCTTCATAAATCTTTGAATGTTCTGAAGGATCATAACCATTCCAGCGATCTCTTTTAGCATCATAATCTAATTCAATATCTTGAATTATTTCATCAGGCATTATATCTTGGCCTGTCCATTTGGCACCTGTTTTCCTTGGACGGTCCATGCAATCTTTTGTTTTGTGTGTCATGGCGCCGCAATTTTCACAGGCACCTTTTCTGAATTTTGTCACAGCAGGTAAACGAAGACCACGTGCGTACCATTGATTATTATCTTTTTTTTCTTCTAACTCATGGATTCTCTGATGTTTTAAAGTTGGTCGTCCTGTATCTAGATACCATGGTGCCTTGGCAATGTACTGAGGAATATGAGGATTAATATCTTTTCCCTCTTCATCTTGTTCAGCAGGGGCGGTACCAGCTTTTCTTGCCGCCTCAAGATCTTTTTGACGGCGATAATCTTCACGACTTAATTTATTAGTTGAAGATGGTGTAAAAGATAAAGATGACATGTTTTTTTCTGTATAATTTGAATGAAATTCATTAAATTTATCGATATCGATATCGATAAGAGTATCATATGACTTGTCACATGATTAACAAAATTACGCGGCAAATTTCTGTTGGTCGTAAAAAAGTATAAAAGGAAGGAATAAAATATTTCTGTA